GTTATTTCAACGTAACTACTTGCTAATTTTAATAAAGCTTTTACGATTCAATATATAGAAATTAAAGAAGAATGTAAATTGCGTAGACTAAGTCATTTAACTGTTTCCTTCTCACAACCTCAATCTTCAAGGAGCCACAGTACAACCGGCTGGAAGCTTACAACTTGTACAATACAAATGTAATTGAGGGGATGTGATCATGATGCAAAATATTGCTTGAAATTCTCTTCTTCAAGCGTTCCCATTACTAATGACCCACTTTTCTAACCTATTAGTTTCAGAAGAAATTCATTAAGAACTATTCCTGTCCATTATCAAGGACGGAATCCTAGCGCCTTGATTTTGCTATCCTTAGACATTAAAAGTATCATTTTTGATTCAAAGGATCTGTTCTGAGCTTAACTTTTGTTAAATTACTTTTTTGAGTATTGCCTGAGTTAAGTTTTGCTCATCATTTTACCTCAGCTTATTATTAGGCGACCTAAATGCAGTTTCGCTATAAACTGTAGTATGCCGTGCGGCAAATGCAAATGTTTTTTTCACGAATCATGTACAGACTTTAAAGCAACTGCTTGCAAAAGATTAAGTAAGTCGGGTCGTAAATTGACGTGTGGTTCATACAAAATGAATGATGAGGATTTACTGATCAATATTATCATACTCCTCACAGGTCTCAGGAAAATGGCAGGCTTCTAACTGGTAATCAATCAAAGACGAGTTATAAGATTGAGAAGAGTGTTTTTGACAACAACAACAACAGCAGCACTAGTAAGGATACGAAAAAACTCAGTCTCATCATAACATATATAGTGTTAGACCCTCTCAATAAACTTTAACCACCAGGACAGACTCTCTAAATGCAATTGTGGTGTAGATAACTGAACCTTCGTCAATACAGCTGAGAACGATCGACTGTCACCGTCGAAAATGCCGAACAGACCAGGTTCTGTAAACAAACCAGCTATCGGATCGACAGTGCGACTTACCCTTTAGATTATCCAGACAGCCAGACCGAAATCTAACTATCAAATAAATAAGACATCAGACTGAAATTTCACGGAAACTTGGGAAAGCATTCACGTCCAGCAGAGATTTTTCACAATTATGGTCCTTAAAGATAGCTCAAACCCCCTCAGTCTGCAGGACAGTAACAACGGGATACCTTGAGGAGAGTTAAGAAGTAAGCTCAAACATCTTAAAATTAGGCTACCAACGGTTACATGGCTTGCCCGTGAGAACGGTATTGAACATAAAAATCATCCAACTTTGTTTCGCGTAACGCTGACCGTCATTGCTGACGTAATGGATGTTGTGTTGCCATGTCACATGTTGAAAACAGTACGGGACGTGAAGATGCTACGTGACATACCACATTCTGGGTGCAATCTCATCAAGAACATTGTGAAAGAACAGAATGAAGAATCTCACTTGTTTTAAATAGAAAGAACCAAATGTCTGTATGCGGACGCTGCGAGTTTACGTAGCAAAATGGATAAGTTGTGTGAACTAGATAACGCTAATAATAGTAATCTGATAGAAATATTTGAAACACGGCATCTCAGATTACGGAACAGATGCTTGCAATACTCGAAATCCGTCTACTTACCGATGGAAGGAAGACGAGAATATGAGTCAAAGCAGTTCTGTACCTACGACATTGCTTATCAGCACATTACGTGCACACTCAGGAGTTTAAAAACCTTGACGAAATGAGATTATCTAACACCTCGATACGTCTACTTGGAGTCATCTATGGGAAACCCGGCTCCTAGACCCAGTAGAAAAGTCGTATATTGAAGAAATTATCCAGCTCTATTTCTTTTGCATACACTCATATCCTGATTCACATTTAATTGAAACTTCTCGAAACCAATTTCTCTGAAATCAAGTACATTTGAGGTGACGAATCTACGGGTGCTCGGTTCTTCATCTTATTAAATGCTTGCACTTTTCGGGAATATCCATTTAGCAACTCCGTATGGAAACGCTGTCATGCTTGAACTGCATATTTATCAACGAAGGATTCTTAACTGACAGCTTCTTAATGTTAACTGGCCAAATTAAACGCAATCCTGCAGTCAAAGCCTTCGGTTTCATCAGAATAACTGATCTCAAACATCCTGCTGGCAACAGACGTTGAAATTTCAATCGTTTGTATGGGTCAGCTAAACAAGAAAACCTACAAAATGTAGACTGGGAAGTTTACCCTCAACTTGATGTAAATGCTCATTGAGATTTGTGACTGTATGCAATCTTACGTGCTACAAACTGGTGACTGCTTATTGTATATGAACATATTTTCACCCGTAACAGCACGATTTCAGGAAAAACTACACCTATACAACCAACATGCTGACAGATGTGGTCAGATAAACTACCACCTTTAATGGCAGAGGGAAGGTTGATGTCGTACATCTTGACTTCTTAAATGCCTTTGGTGAAGCCGATAATATACGACTCAATCAACTTGGGCAACCGCCCTGTAGAGATGTCCCGAGTTAAAAGAGATCTAAGAGTGTTGGTACCCTATAGTCCAAAGACTTGTGCCGAAACAAAAATACCACTAGAGCAGATTCTGAACTAGCAACTTTGAAGCGCATTTTTGGCCAGTTTGACACCAAAACTTCGAAATTTTTATTCAACCACATTTAAAGTATGAACATATAGTGTCTTCCTTCACTTCGAAAGGATAAGAATACATTGGAACTTAATGATGACCAGATGCAAAATCAGTTTGAGGGCTTAAAATTAATCCTAATGAAGGGCGCCTCAAACCACTGAATCTCTACTATTAGAGTATAGGCATCTAAGAGGTGGCCTTTTAAAAACTTATAGTGTCCTAAAAACTCCTGAAAACCCCCCTTAAACACCTAATACAGTAGTTAATCATGATTTTTTTTAAAAATTTCAGCTTTAATTGTTATTGTACTTAGGTGCCTACCTGGAGGCACTGGCGATCCCCAACTACTAGATAGGTATGCCACCTAAACAAGAGCTGCTTGTCTCCCTTCCAATATAACTTGAACCGTTTGAGTAAACGGGCACTTGAATTAACCATGACAATTACCAAAGTTTGTCCAGTAAATAAGATGCTTGTGATACATACCTTTTCGGCAGAATTTGTGAGCGACAACTTGGTGTCCTGGCCTAAAAACTCATCATTACAGGATAGTCAACATAATGCCGGGAATATTCATGGAGTGACGCGAGATTTTCTTAAGCCCACAAAACGCTAAACATTGGATATGAAGACGTTGGATAAAAAATTCTGATTTTATTTGACGCTCGACTGCTAGAGGTTAATTTACTAGAAAGTAGGACAGCATTTGATCCATGCGAAATATATTGTGCAGTACTTGGATTGAATACAATACCAAACAAACTTTGCCACCTATATCAGGGCTAAAATGCAGTGGAAGTTAAACCTCCACCCATAACGAATTTAGATTCACCATACGCTAGACTCAACAAATCGTGGGCGAATGAAAAACAGTTAAAAGATCAGCAATCATCCTAGAACACGAAGCATAGGCCTTTACTCCACTAGGACAATTAGCGCAACCAACTTTCAAGGTTGGTTGCACCCCGCAACTATTAAATCTCCGCCTTCGATAGCTATGAACCTCAGGAACGGAAATGATCCGATTGCTGCTCTTCAGGCTTGGTAGAGCTCAAAGAATGACTTTAGTCACATCAGATGTTACGAGACGAAATTGACCGGGAAGACAGCAGGAGACAATTTTCATAATCGTTTGACCTCTATCAACAACCCGTGCTGCAGAACAACAAAGACTCTTGCCCCGTTAGAATCCACCAGCAGGTGATGAGATAAATTATCAAGTGCCTCCATAAAAATATAAAAGGTCTATGACATCAACTGGTGGAGATCAGGGACAAATACTTTCATTTGGATTTGAAGTTCTCGGGACAATCTGAACCATGAAATGTTGAAGAGATAGGTTTCACTAATTAACTTTTATCTTAGTTCTAGAACTACCTAAAGTATAGTATGTTTCGTCTTACGATATTTAGAGTGCACATAAGTTGCAGGGTCTCGACATCAGGTGTGTCACAGTCGTTTATGCAAATCTGCCCCCGTTTGTTTCTTTAGAGTACAATCTGGAGCTAGGGATCACAAATAACGAAGACACCAACTCAAAATAAACCTGGAAAGCATGCAAGGCAAATGCAACTCCATGCTTTAAGCAATGACAACTTAGCATATTTACTGCATTAGTGTCCTTAAATCATTATAAAACTTACGCACAGCCCTATCCTGAAATCTAAAATTTTGTCCCGTAATCTTTCGTCAAAAGAGACTTAAATCTCTTCGACCATGTACAAAGATAGGCAGCTGTGTGGGTGATGGGGGCAAAGAAAAATGTTTACGAAGACATGCTCCAACACGTGATTATTCTTTAGGAGCGGTTAAAAAATAAAAGGTGATCTGAGAGTGTCAGTCTCTCACTTCAAACAACTGTGCCTGATATGTCTCATAATTCAACCACTGTTAACATTCCGCATATCAGTAACTACATCGTATCTCGCTTATTGTTTTCCCCGCTTCTCATTCTATTCGAAAATTTCGGTCTTTTCACAATGTCTATATCACCAGTTATTTGATTTACTTATTCATTTACTTATTACTTGAAACAATTTCCTTTTCCTAACACTAGGATTTTCACTTTATTACTTTACACGTAGCAATTAACCAACCTTCTATCAGTTAATGTGATAGCTTTTGGTACCCAAAAACCCTACAGTCCAGAGAAAAATGCACTCGATTTACAAAATATACAAATCGACAAAACTGAATGGAATTAATACGGTCGAGTTGCTAGACTACCGCCCATTGAACATTACCAAATAACTGAAACAGTGCTGAAATACCAAATAAAGACCGCGATGAAATCAATTTGCTTATACAAGCTCGTGACAAATATATTTAATATTGAACTTATCATTAATTGTTAACTCATATTTGTTTCATATTTCTAGGCCTCTACTTAGGAATATCATTTGCATCTTCTATACCGTTCACAACTATTTGAACCAAATGAGTCATTTGTGGATTTTGACCTTCGGAGACCCGCCAAGGAGAAAATTTATCATATAGAATGCCAAGAGGTGTGTTGCGATACACTTTACTGGTCTCCTTATACTATCATGAAATTTTAGAATGAAGTCGAAAATCGTGACTTCAGTTATACATCTCATTTTCAAGCGCTAGTTTGCAGTTCTTGGTCATTTTAATGAGTTCGTGTTAATGTATTTAATGACTAAAAGCTTGAAAGTTTTGTATGATACTCAGATTTTCGAAACACGAGAACTACAGTCTTATCAATAAGCTTTGCTCTTGCCTTCTAGTATTTTACCTGTGAGACTATAATTTATGGACGACCTCTGAGCAACGCTAAATAGACCTTGAGAATATCCACCTACATACTACGGCAATATGAGGGTTATGTACCAGTGTAAGGTATTAGAATTAATATTTACAGTTGGTAGTTAGGGTTAGAAATTAAATAAAGGTTTTTCATCACGAGCTGACATCATCCATAATGCCAAAACTCTAGCCAAATGAGTGAATTAGTTTTGCGTCAAGAATCGTTATCGTAAATCTGATTGGTTCCTCCATAAATTATAGTCTCGCCCTTTTATTACCAGTAATTAATTGTATAGATTGCATCTTCAGCGTTGAAAACATCTGACATCCTATCACTTCCCTGAGCAATATGTCCATGAATATTCTACTCCCACACATTTTAATATTTCTATCCTACTGTTAAGTGCAGATTTAGTGTAGTCAACTTCTTACATTTGGTTTGATAGCCAATAGTACTACTAGATTACTAAAATAAAAGCGGTGACCTAATGATTGACTTGACCACTTAGCTATCACTTATAAGTACGCTCTTTCTCTGTAATCACACAGTCCTGTTGACCCGCTTGAAAGGAAGCTACCCACTCACATTTCAGTTCTTGGTACCTTACATATTACGACTAAACCACTGTAGGACTTCGGATGAAGAGCCTGGGTCCTCTATTGTGTAACAACGTGGTCATCACAAACTGTCTTCAGAATTGGTTTTCATTCAAACAAACGCTTACAACCTAAATATATATTTCCCTACAATTCAAATTGTACGATTTGTATAGACAGCAATCCTTGTGCATCTTTCTACATTCGCGTAGTTATTAATAACGCTCGTACCATTTTAAGACGGTCTAAAGCAAGAAACGTTCGGCCTTGGCCTTCTTTAACTGATCACCAACTTTGGTGTGAACTAAGAACAAAAATGGCTGACCAGACTTGCGTGTCTACTACCCATGCAGGCATATTTTGACTCACTTGCGTTAACTAGTTGGGATTGTCCAAGAGTGATTTTTTATGTTCTTCCTTTTTTACATCAGCATGCGGTGAAACACGAGTTAACTTGTATTGAACAACCGTCAATTCTGTGCAGCGCCTCGCTGCATGCCAGTTTTCGAGTCGATACTTTAATCACATTTCCACTCACTGATCGACAGAAACCTCTTTAGTCAATTATACGAATTTCTTAGCTTAATTGCTTCAGAACTAGCTTTTGCAAATATTTGATCAAATTCAGTGCAAACTTCATCTTCAAGCTCTGTTTTTGGCATATGAATTTCAAATAGCTCGCTCCTTTCATAAGTTTTGTCGTGCACGAGAAACCAATCGTAATGCTACGTTGTCTATTAATCAACCGAATCTACTGATTCCATTGAACTATTCCCGTTAATACACTCAGAACATTAGCTTGACGTTAGGGCTCTTTCTTTTTTTACTTCAACGTATATTTACCTGAGTCCACAAAGTTATAGACTATATCAATTTCATTAATAATTACTTTAAGAAGTAGAGTCCAGAAGCCTAAATTACTACATTTTCCTTTGGTTTTCTGGAGGTGACGTAGTTTCGGTGACACCTAGTGACTATCCGAATATAACAAGTTTATTTTGAACATGTGTACTTCGAAATAGTCATTTGTATTGACTCTTAGAATTTTCCAAGCAGGGCTATAGACGGAAACGGGGACTTGTGCACCTTTGTCACTATATGTTAAGCAGGTGGTAAGAATAATTTTATATCACTTTTCAGTTTCCATCTGGATATTGCAAACTTAACGATCATGGTTATATGGACTACCATATTTGTGAAAGCTTTCGAAAAATGAATTTGAATAACATATCGTCACCTGCGTATTCATATTGAAGTTTGATGGGGATAGTATCAAGAAGTACCCTTATATTGACATAGTAGTAATTTAATAGTTGAATTCATGAGTCGATCTAGGCTAGACCACCATTGAAAACCTGGGGGGGATCGGACAGACGTTTCATCGCAGTACGGGACTCCTCAGAAGTACACATCCACGATCCTGCACGCGGAACTCGAATTCAGGATCTTAGATCTTGCTCACGGATGCTTAATATCTAGACCACTGACTCGGCAACCAACGGTGTTAATGCGTAACTTCAACCAATCCACGATATTGCGCGACCGTCCACCGTCGTCTTCAGTGAGTAACGGTTGGACGGTTGGACTCTACTGATCGCGGTTTCTCACTAGAACTCCGGGAAATACATCTTGAAGCCAGTCGCGAGATCGAAGGTCCTAGGTCCTTATCTCGCGTGACGGATCGTCAATGCGCACTGCCGAGGAGTCCTATACTAGAACAAGTCGACCATCCAGTGTTTTCAGTGGTGGCCTAGTTTAAATCCACTCATGAATTCAACTATTACGTTGACATATTTGCTGTAATCGGTTGTGATATTATTTTGAAGCGCAAAATATAAAACTTCAAAACCCTCGCATCCAGTATTCTAATCCACAAGTAATTGAGTTAGGCGTGTCTTGTATTTTCTCTAAGTAGACCTTTTTCATTTACAAAGCTGTTTAATCTCTACACCCCCTATCTCACTCTCTTATCGAAAAGACTGTGGTCACTCAAATTTAAGTCAGGAATCACTTTATGTCCAACTGTTCTCTGAGACATGTATTTCTATACAATTCTAGACTAATATAATCTGGAATATGGTCAAATAACATGTGGTCTAGTGTTTTCCTTGTATCTACAGATTATGACAAACGCCCTCGATCAAGATCTCATGACCGATACAGGGATCGTAATGATAATTGTGAGCGTTCTCGTAAACACCGAGAAGACTACCATCGAAGAGATCGCGACCACGGATACGATTGTGAGGAAAGAGATCTAGAGAGAAGCCGATACCGACATGAAAAAGAAAAACGCAGAGACCGTGATAGTCGACGGAGACATGAACAAAATCATAACGACGAAAGATGGAAGCGTCGTACACGTTCTAGGAGCCCCATGCCTACACCTGAATCAGAAACCGTGGAGTATGAAGAGGGTAGGTTGTTTTTGAAACTTGCTCACCTTTTTAGCAGAACCAACTGAACCTGTAACCGAAGAGGAGGCAGAAATGATGCGCACTATGGGTTTCTGCAATTTCGGCACCACAAAAGGAAAACATGTTATTGGTAACAGTGTTTATGTGGCAAACATAGCAAAACAGCGAAAGTATCGTCAGTACATGAATCGTCGTGGAGGTTTCAATCGTCCTCTCGACCCAGTTGCTTAAACATTATGATATTTGTATATATTCTCTTAAAACCTGTCAAAACGCACTCAATATAACGAGATGTATTGATAGGAAATATAACTCATACTAAAATTTTAATGTGTATTTCACAAAGAATGGCCAATTGCTGCGTAGGTTTAATAGATGTATTTGTTACGTTACAAGGTGAAACACTTGCTAAGAATAAATCATACTTCGCTTTTCGGGCAAGTGTTATTTGAAAAAAGGCAATCTAGCATTCGAAGCTCAACCAACAATTTAAAAATGCGCAATTACAAATAAGGTTAGTTCCTTTTACGAAAATTGTTCATATGATTTTGATCATTATGTAGAAACTATATCAAGGACAAATTAGTATATTTGTAACATCACGATGAATTATTTGTTCTCTGAAAAAGTGGCTTTCACTGAGTCACGAAACATCAGAAAGTCTAATTTCTCTACTCATTGGGATATTACAAATATACTAATTTATTTATAACAATCTACCCAATGTTCAATTTATTCGGAATTATCAAGCCACACCTTGGTAATGATACTCATTTCAAGGATACTTGCTTCCCATAACACCGTTGAGACGTTAATTTTTTCCGGCGCTTTAACCGGAACCCAAATCAATGGTGCACATGGGCTCCAGTATCCTGAAGGAACAAATGGCGTATGAACCAATCGTTGGTCACCGGCTACCATGAAACTGCATCTCCTCACGATGCTCCACTGCCTTGTGGATCAGATCTTCAGGTCAAAGGCTCGGAGTGTGGCCCCCTAAGAAAACCACCTGCTTCGGTTTGGGCACCCGGGCAGTATCACAGCCCTCACACATATCCAATGAGATCTGTGTGGCGCATATGTATTTGGTGTCTTCTTGTACCGATATCTATGTGTTAAGATAAATAAGTAGTATAACATGGTCCGTGTTATACTACTTAGAAAACTGCACTTGTTAGGATGGTCGAATTTCCCAGTTAGAGTGTAGAATATGAACAAATTATGTTAATTGTAAATAATGCTTAAGATTGATTCACTCAAGATTTGTAATGTGAAGATACAAACACAACAAAAAAAACTTGGACCGATGCATATATGTGCCTGGTCCTACGTTACAACTGACTAACTGACACAGACCATCTAGCATATCATCTGAATACGCAGTACTGTGGAAAACTATAAGTATATTTTATACATTTATTCTATTCTATACATCTAAACAAAAAAGTAGTGTAGGATTCATATAGTACTAAATGTGACATTGAAATAGAGCGACTATCATTAGTGAAACATCTCAGTACTTGATTAGATCGTTACTAAAATCCATAAACGTTGGTCGTTTTGCAGCGCTAGTAATATCTTAATCTACAAAAATCTTTCAATTTATTTAAATTATTTGTTGTACAAAAATAATGAGCAGCACATGTACACGGAGAAAGTAATATTAGTTTGTGTTATAAGATATTTACTATTTTGCAACTGCATTAACCACCAAGTTCAGCGTTTGCCGATGTAAATCTTGTCGTATCAGTTTTTTTCCTCTAGCATGTCATGAAACGATGTGAATGTTTAGGACCAAACATGAAGCTGTTGGCTACCAAAAAAAATCCAACATTTCGGAAAAAGGATAAGTCCTTTGATGCATTAAGGTTCTGAAATAGATTAGTCATCTGAATCATAACGGTACAGAGTCATCGCTTGGTTTATGATCTTGTTTTTGAACAGTAACAAAGATGGTCCGTGTATTGAATTTAGGAATCTAGTTATACATTCATCATTTGTGAGTTGGGCCAAAGCAGGTTCTACGTTTGCCATGAGGAATAAGAGCACTAAAGCCATTAATTGACTTTCGTTTGGGTTCATATGTACGTTCTTACTTGTAAGACTAAAAGCAAAAGAAAAAAAATATAAATATCGATAATGAGTAGTGAAATTGGACAGTGTCAAATCAGAAAAAATTTAATTACGTTTTAAGTTTCCTAGACTTATGTGGTGCATGCCACTGCCCAAAAGCTGTCTTATTTTCGTGCAGTATCGACTCAATGGAGAATTAATACCTTGACAACGGAGTTCAGCTGAAACAGCCGACCTACTGATAGGATATTTAATCATTGATGTCTTATCATCACCGAATGACGAGATAAAAGTCAGCTACCAATGTCACAAGTAATTAAACTGTAGGGACGAGATATGACTGCGAAAGCTGTACTACTAACTAAACAGAAATGTAACGGCATTAATCGCTGAATAATATGGACTTTTATATCAGTGAAAAAATTCAAAACGGTCATAAAACGACATCTATTCCAAGTAGGCCTTAATATTTCTTGAAACAAAGGAAGCTAAACTACCCAGCTTATGAAATGCGAACTAAAACCATCCACCTGAGTTGCAAATCCTCATCAATACAAAGACGATCTTTTGGTCATGGGTGAAAAAAAATTTCTAAAGGATATTTCTTCAGAAACGTGAATTTTATGAAAATAGTTACAGTAATTATATTTATTCTTACTTCCACGATATTGGACAAAATTGAGTTATAAATCTGTTGATGAATTGAGAAACTTACTTAAAATGAAGCACAGAATTTTCTAATCTTCTGTATACACAATAAACATTTATTTTTAAAGCATCTAATATCGGATGCATGCTAGAATTAAAAAAAAAGTAAATTGAGGTCTTTTTAATAAGTGAATACTAGGACAATCACTTAGTTCACTATTATGTATTATTTTATTAACTGCTTGATTCGAATTCTTGGAATTCTACGCTGAATGAAGTATTGATGTTGTGACTCACTCGTAGAATAAGGCACACTAGTATACAGTATTAGTAGAAGGTACTTATCACTCACTAAAATTCGCTAGCTTGAACAAAAGCCAGTTAAGTAGAAAGACAATTATAAACTTGGTAGATTGTGATTCCAACTCGTTTAAAATACTACTTTAATTAACTCTAATGAAAATAAATGAGACATCCGCAACCACACTAAACGTAACTAAGGGACTATAAGTCTAGGTACTTGTACTCCAAACTTTACGTTCAGAACTTACTGTTCACATTGAAATGATATTACATCATTAGCGCGCCATCATATAGGCTTGTACTACACGAGCTTAATGATTAGTTTTCCAAGTTTACGAATTACCTATTCAAAAATGACTGTCTACAAAAAGACTTATTAGTCGTAATTACCATCTTATTTAAGAATCCATGTTTGTTGATGGCCCTCGTCTATATACATCCTTTAAAAGAACAGCAGATTATTCCGATTCTTCATATTACGTTTTGGTGTAAATAGGCAAATATTGGTAAGGCTATTGCTATAACTAAACAAAATTAATACGGCTTAATTCGAGAAAGTAAGATTGTAGATGAAGATTTTATTATGCACTAACCAAAGGCCCACAATCAGGTAAACAATTATTTGGAAACACTGAGTCACATATCACTTCATCTCGCCAGTACTCGTGTTATGAATAAAACTGGGCAACACTTGACATTAATAACCAATCACTTAATGCATGCATACACTTTATCATATCAACAGATTAAACTGCTTTAACCGACAAATATGACTAAATTACTGAGTCAAATATTGGCTCTCTCATACGTAATTCCCTGTGAAAAATCTGATTCGGTACACAGTAGGAAAAACTACGTAGCACATATACTTCCGCCGGAGTATTATGTATAACTAAATGATCATAAAAACCGCACCCAAAATAATTACTTTACCTTTTTTTGAGATCATCCAGAAGGATTTGTTTACGGAGAACTTCAGGAGAAACCGAATCAATAAGTGGTAGAACACAGCTAAGCGGATACTGGAAAAAAACAAAATAATTCTGTACTCTGATAAATAAAATACTGAGATTTCTAGACAACTGTCTTATGCAAATAAAAATCCTCGATATTAAGATACAGATATGAGGTTGAAATAAAAGAAATGCAAGTTTCTCATAATGAATACCAGCTAATATAGACTGTATTTTACACACAGAAATCACAAATCCCTAATTGACTTCGCTAAAAATAATCGTTAGGTCGTAGAGACCATTAGCAAATCTCAAGAGGCCTAAACCACTAGAATCAGGCTGGAAAGACACCGAGGATCACTAAACGTGCTACCGAAACATATGGAGGAGAGAATCACAAAACAGGTTCGTACACTGATTAACAGTAATGTTTTAGTGCACACCAAAATAAGACATGGGAATCACTATAATAGGAAAGGGAGTCAAATTTTATCCTGTCATAGTAATTAATATTTGAAAGATTGAAATATTTACTCTGTGAAGGACGAAGCGCGTACAGACTGGTCAGTCACAATTAATAAATCATTATATCCAATTTAGTTTCACAACGAAATTACTGTTAGTTTCGTCACCTATCGACCATATCTAAAATAAAACTATCGCTTTGGACTGAAAGTACGTAACAGTTTGTTTACACATCACGTGGTAAGCATATATACTGAGGAATGATGCTGTAATAGAAAGCAGATAAAAAGGCAACCAACTTACGTCAGAAAATTGAGTTTTTTCCCGGATTTCTTCTTTTGATGATACATGTTTTGAGAAAAATTGCTGCAAAATTCTGCTATGTAACCGATCAACCGAAGTTGGTTCCTCAGATGTAAATGTATAGGTGGTAAGAATCACAAAGGCTTTTTCAGTTAGCCACTCTTGTAAACGTTTTGAAAGTCTGTCGCATACATTAGTAGAAACATTATCTTGGTTATCTAACTGTTGTTTGCAATCTGATGGAGACGTGAGATGCATTCCTGACTGATCATCATAAGAAGTAACTGTAGATGCAACAGAGTCTAATGCACATGGACAAATGCCACGAACTACGATGCTATTTTTATTATTTGTTCCAAGTGCCAGTTTCTCTAGTTCCTTACGTGAATATTCCAATGTACTACTCGACAAGTCAATAGATTCGGATTCAGCATTCACATTAAGTTCGTTTTCAATACTTGAATCACTTTCAGATCCATTTAAGAGTAAACGATTCTGTACATCTAAAATCACTTTACCAATATGTCCTGGAACATTAGGAGGTAGCAAACTTATGTGACACGGTTTTAAACTATCTGCTGAACGGCACCATGCTGGTTCTTTAGAAATCTGTTTGCGTATGTAACATGAAGCACGGTAACACCAGTCTGAGCAAAATGGCTACGATGAACAAAGTCAGTAGATTTAATTGGGAGTTTTAAGAATAAATAGCAATAAAAAGCTAATTAATAGTGTCTACTAGATTACGAACCTCCTTCTAAAAGTAAGATAATGGGGACTGGGAAGAGTGGACATTCTCAAATCAAATTTACAAAAAATAAAACCTATTTCTAGTGGCTAAGCACGACATAATTCATAAACTCACAGTCTATAAAATTCACACGTTTATGATAGACAGAGCTTCGAAGTACTGACCTCTTTAATACTATGCTTCACCTTAACCACTGATCCACTGTTAACGTTAGATTCTGAAAACGTCATGTGGATGAGTATTTGATGTACTACGGATTCCGAACAATCTGGATCTTTTAACGTATGCCTTTACTTCTATGTACATTGTTACACCGAAAATCACAACTGACTCGATAGTGTACGAGATATTAGTTAACACAATAAGTTATCCCAGAATCCGTGTAAAATAATGTTTGTCCCAACTCAACAACAGGCTGCTTGGAAGGCGGTATTCTTGAGCACACAGATCTAGCAATATAAGCTTATCAGGAATTATTCATAGGTTCAGCAATAAAAATAATGATAAATTCGTTGTACCCCAATCAATAGAAAAATGAACTTCTGATGTTCCGCAGTGTATTGTAAGTTACTTCTTCATAAAAAAACAATTCGGTTAGAAATATGACCTTCTACCGTTTGGGATGTTACAAACTTATCATTATGTTTGTGATTAAAAATTCATCTGATGCTCAATTCTTTCGAAATCATCAAGTCAAACCTTGATGACGAAACTAAAGAATTCAAAATTTTTGAACAAACACATTAAACATCAGGTTTTTCCACGTACTTTGGAAATAACTCTTTCCTTGTTACCGCCAAAATGCACTTATAATTATCAATAAATCATAAGATATGCTATTTTGAACATTGGCTGGCAGCCTGATACATACCGAACGACCGCTAAATAAACCTTTCTAACCAATAATTTGCCCTGATATTATTTCTCAAAAAATAAACCAATGTGTGAGACTCACTCGACGCTTGGTAATATCGTATACTCTCCGAGTGTTTGTACAAATACGGTACTTTTGTTTAGTGGTTTGACCTTTAGGCTTGGAACACAATGCATAACCACAATTTCCATAAGCATTTCGCTCTATCAATATATCATCATACTGTTCACGTTCCAACCACGGTAACTAAATTGATGGGAAAACACAAACGTCATCACTTGAATATAAATTCCGGTAAATAAACTAAGAAAATAGCAAGATTTATATAGTTTCATTTAGAATATTCTCATGTACAAAAAAATCTTTAAAGCCTACTCTGTGATGAATGTTTAAAAACTAAAATATAAGTCGACTGTATAATGATCCAACAACTAATTTATAGACTTATTCTAATCCCGCTAACAACTTGTTATACGACATCCAGATAACAAAAATTCCTAATAAAATAGTGAAGTTTGAATAGGAACAGGCTGAATTTAAGAGTCACCTTGATTTGATATGATGCCTAATTTAACTCTGACCCATAGAGTGCTTATTTCCCGAAAAATAAACATCACGGAGGTCGACTACGAAGTTTCTGGAAGACAAAGAAACTATACTAAGAATGTTAGACAAGTCATCACTACTAGAGAAGCCTATTGAATCCAGAAGAATACTGCTGTCATCCTGGTTAGTTTCGAGAGGTGAATTTGAACTTAGGCCATTTTTAAATCTAATCAACGTTGATGGCTTCCCAAGACCAATAAGTTTGAGAAAACACTCAAGAAAATGCCATATTAAAACATAAATATTTTCATTCAGGTATCATCAATTAATATATAGCCTTGATGTGCAGGATACATCCTGACATGTCAACGACTAGAGAAATAATTTCGGGTTCATGTTAAAGCTTGACGTTAGTTGAATAGTCACTGAAAACCAGGAAAGATCAGACAGTTAGTTTTCCTTGTTGTGGAACACCTCAACAAGAATTTATGAACAAAACATAGGTCGTACCTGAGATCCTCAGGTCTCGCGGAAGCACGTAGCATCTAGACTACTGAGTTTGAATTCAAGGGTACACATTACTAACCTCAATACATGTGACAACATAGGTTTCCTAGAACGTGTGCACACAAAATCAATTTTAGTTATAATGCAAGTTTTCCTACCTTCGAATGTGTGCGTTTCCTAAGAAAGAGTACAAATGAATACAAAAAATATTTATGTTAGTGGTCTCAATTACGTTTATACATTCGTCGGATATATGAGAATTAGAAGAAAACTTCACTTATAATAAATGAGTACACTCGATTGATGGAACAAAAAGAATCGTCAAAAATACAAAAAACGACTAACCTGATATATGTATTAATACTTACAGCATAAGCTAGCATATCAGTATTTACAGGATTGTGAGCGAATCTTTCAACGATCCGTAAAGCTTGGCGGAGAAACAGTGCTTGTCTCTTTCTTGTCTCGATTTTATCTTTTTCTAATCCTTTGAAAGGTGGAGGGGCAGAGGAAAAATCAAATTCATCATTCCCGTCCGAAGACATCTAAAATTAGTAAAATCTAAAAGATAAGCAAGATGAATCCAAGGGGATTTGGTAAAACAATAATTACAGAAATATGTATACATATATTCGTAAAAACGCAAATAACAGAGAAGCATATCTCGAGGTTTTTTTATCAATGAGATTCGGGGTATGAAACATGTACGAGTAAAGAACAGTTTGTACATTTTGCATACGGGACTTGGCAAAGTACAGCAAGGTCGTCTAAGACATGACTTCCACCGCAGCGACAAGGAAACCAATAACAGTGACACTCTTGATTGTGGGATTGTAAATCTACGTCATGAATGGATTCGCTTTCATCATGAAATTGGTCAAATGATACATCAGATTGTATAGGCAACCCAGCGGAGTGAGATATAATTTTATGTTGTCTCAACAAAGCATCATAAGCTTTACGTTTTTCTGGATATCGTAAAACACTCCATGCCCTTTCTACGACCAAAAATCTTTTATTTGACACCCCTGGATTTTTATCTGGATGGAACTTAAGTCGAGCTTCGTTAACAATTCGTTTGATTTCGTCTTCTGTAGAATCCATGGTACATCCTAAAACTTCATAAAAATCATCCATTATCCTAAAAAAAATGCAGATATTAAGCAAGCGGAACAACATGAAGGAAGAAAAAGTGGAGTGATTTTAATTGTATATTTCAGATGTATATACATATTTGTGCATTTGTGTGTAACAGTAACGCATTAATCGCTTTCTTCATCAGAATCGCAATATTCTGGTGCTTCGGGTTTGGCCCAATTCGGCTCTGATGATTTTGGAAGTTGGACTTTATTGGTTGAAACCCAACCAGTCTCCACACTTTTGTTAAGACAGTCACCTTTATCAGTTTGTTCTCCTTTACATTGAACAGGAGAATGCGAACAGGAATGATGTTGATCTTCTTGATCACTTTCGCTTAATTCAGAATGCTTCTTCTTTTTTTCACGCAGTACAGTAATACGGGACAATAGATTCTTGGCAAATTTGAAAAAGCCTTTGGTATCTGTAGTGCATGCGTAGCACCGTGCAGTTTTCTTATATCGCTGAAGAGCGCAATCACTACAAAAGTAATGTTTACATCTTTAGAATTAGACAGATAAGTCTATTGAAACTTACATGGTTACAACTGGGTCTTTATAGTCTTTGCGACAAATCATGCAAAATAAGGAAATATCTTCAAAGCCTTCGTCTTCAGAAAAGTTGTGCGATATTTCGTAACGATTGTCTTCACCATCAATTCCATATACTCCTTCGGCCAATTCTTGTTCTATTTGCCAACCATGTTTATAATCTGATCTGTCATGCAGAAACTTGCAGCTATCCCCAAAACTACAAAATCCTGTTTCTTTGTAGTCCTAAAATGCAAGTAACTTAAGGCCCAAAACAAATATACACACTTTACAAATATCCGGTTGATAATCCCATCTTACAGTAGCTCTTAAATTGGCTGGCGCTCGCATGGGACCTTTACGGTTGAAGCCACTAGATGCATTGCCCATAACAGTGTCTTTCTTCTCAATGTACTGAGCATAATTGTTGAGTCCCTTATATATATTACGACTCTGGGATTCCTGGAAACAAGAATAATGGTTCTATGAATGAAGGAGAAAACACACCTGGTTTAATTTTTGAGCCTTTTCAAAGATAGCTTGTGCATCACATTTCACATCGGTATCGACCTCCACAGTAGCAGTTGCAATCTGCTCTTTTGTTATCCTAGATTCCTTGGAAATTCTAAATATTATTATTAAAAATGTACCTTGGAATGAGAAGCCTTATAAGTGACGGTATTAGGAGTGCTGTTATCAAACTTATCAGAATCATCATCAGATGAGCAGTTCTTGTTACCACTAAACTTTGAAGTCTAAAACTGTATATTACAGTCATCATTAGCAAACCTGTTGATACAGCATATTATTAATGTGACGTCTTTTCTGAGTTTTTATGACTGCTTCATCTTCACTAGAAGAACCTTTCGCAAAATAAAATTTATGTAAAATTAATACCCTCTTTTTGTCGTATATTTTTTCGACTACGCTTTTTAAAGAAGACACAACTTTCGTCCACGTTTTCAGTCATTCTTAGTATCTAGATGGAAAATAAAAACAGACTGTTACAAGCTTAGCATTGAATTCTGTGATAATGGAAAATAAAATTAAGTTCCTTGAATCTATTGTACAACGGTGACAACTAGATTTCATTTGAATTCTCTTTACGCAAAGATGATATCCTGGTACATATAGCTATACATACAGCAGGGAGTTTCCGAAAAAGAGGTGAATATTTCACACGAAACCTATTTCGATCTAGGTACTCGAGTAGTATCGCTCCCCAGCTTTTCTGACGTTAGTGACTCACTAAGCCTCAGAGAAGAGGCTATACTAGTCGACTGAATCCTCATTGCCAGTCAATTACATGGTGCGATGTAAGAATGCTACGTCAAAGTGGGATTTATAAAACTGTTTTTCACTCACCCCCGTCTATGCCCGAACCGATTTCAGTCCATATGCAATCAAGGATGAGTTTAGCACCAATTAAATGGTCTAAAAAACCCGTTTTGTAAACATTGTAATGATAAATGGATATTACAATGTGCAAATTGGGTTTCTATGTACTTATGAGTCATTTGGGTGTCTAAACAGGACTTTTTGGTTCTAGGTCAGATAACGGTGACCGCCCCCTGAAATCTGAGTAGATCACAGTCTACTTTCGACCAGAACCAACTTTTGGCATATTCATCGCCAATGTGCTACCTGGTATCCTGCTCTTGCATCTGAAGCCTGAACCCACATTGACCACATCGCGATTAGCTGCTAATGGCGTGGTTGTGTACAAGACTTCTACTCCCCGTGGAATATTTCTCTGGACTCTAATCATGGTCTTGTTTGAGCTAACTTTATCTTACGTTTCAGTGGCCGGAAACTTTATCGCCATAAATGGATCGATGTTAACAAATTAGCTACACTTTTTCTTGTAACTAAACATCAAGCCAAACTAGGTTCAAGACTATCAACTCACTAAAAAGTGTAGATGAGCATTGGCTGCAATTGCATAACACCATAAAAGTTGCAAGTAAAGTCGCTTGCGGTTTTGCGAAACGTCCCACTTAGAATGGCTTGGTTTTCACAGGCTCCGTACAACTCATTAAAGCACGTCAGTCCTTTCCGGCCAACCACAAGTTTGACCATAAACGGAGATTGTTGCGTAATGAAATTGTGCAAAGTTTGCGTAAGGACCGAGAAGCCTGGTAGTTAAAGAGTGCTAACGAGTTGGAAGCAGCAGCTTCATCTGACAAATGCCGGATGTTTCTCAACTCATTCAAGTCACTGGCAGTAGGATGTCTGGTGTGGGTGGAACCTGTTGTAACATCAGTTAACAACATTTGTTTACATCTTGGATGATAGGCAGTGCTCTTCGACAAACGATTCGACTGGTCTGCTGTCTCGGTGGCATCGATCGAACTGTTCCGTCCTTCATGACCGGTGAAGAACGGTTCATCTAACGAGGAGGAAGTCTGCGAGAAACTCTAGCCCCTGAAGCCACAAAAATCACCAGGCCCAAACGATTTGCTTCCAGGCCTTTTTATAGTTGGTGAAGAACTTCCGGTTCGAGACCTGACTGGATTGTTTGAAAATATTTGATCGACAGTGTTGCAGCATGACAGGATGAAGTGGTAGCTATCTGTATTCTTGAAAAGGTTGTTGGTCATCTATGCAACAACTATTGGAGTAAGTCTACTTCCGATTGTATCGAGACAATTGGCTTCCGTCGTACATCTTAGATTGTTCAAATCCGAGTAAAGATTGACTCGTGAGAAGCAGAATAGTTTTCGTTCTTTAACTGGGAAGATTCTGGTTGTATTTTTTGTTTCAGTATTGATAATTACAATGATTATTATTTGTACTAATATTATTATTACTATTATTATTATATCACCATCATACAGTAATTTCTATTCGTTTCTGTTCTTACTTTTATTATAGTCACTTTTCTTTCTTCATCTCTTCATAACCTCATTTTTATTGTGTCACATATATATTTGATACCCATTTGTGCCAATGTTTATGTGTTCAAATAAACATATTCCGGACCATATTATAAGCAGATGAGGTTGTATCTCCATAAATATAACATGTGACTTTTTGTCAGTTGACGTTTCTAGGTTTGTTTGTGTGAAGTAATTTTATGTCTACTCACAATAGATGTATTGGTTAATGTAGTTTTCATCTACTTATTGTTGATGTGATAATACTTAGGGCTTTAAATCGCGGTATATTAGGAAATTCGATTCAAATTCGCTAGACTCCATCTTTAAGTGGCTGTATGGACAACTGTTTAATTGATTTTTGGTTTCACTTTTCTGTTATGAAGATATTCATTATTGTGAAATTCACTTTGTATTTTAACTGTTTGATCATATATTAGAAAAAATTTAATGTTTTTTATCTTCTGGGTTTTTTTTCAGATTCTCTCATTACTAATTTACCTGTTCAACCATTGAATTTACCATATCCTGAAATACAATATAAGTAGGTCACAGATGTGTTCTATTTTCTCCAATGCCATTAAAAGACTGGTTCTTTAAAATATTTGAAAAAAATTTTCTCATGGTTACTTACACCTGTTACCCGTCGTGGAGCATTGTTCGTCGACAATGGCTCCAAATAAATTTCTCCTGGGCTCTTCATTTACGGTTAGCGTTTTTCTTTTGATACCTGCCTTCGACTCCCGGAGCAAGGTGTGCTTTGGTCTGCCCCTTGTCGTTTTACCTAAAGGAATTAAAGTTGGGACTTTCTCTGTGGTACCGTTCGATGATTTCGTAGCGTGTGTCCTACCCAACTACAGCGTCTTTTCCTGATTCCAATTAAAGCTGGGATCTGATATGTCCCCAGCCACATTCGGTTGTTGCCGATTTTATCCATCCTGAAGCCACAAAAATCACCAGGCCCAAACGATTTGCTTCCAGGCCTTTTTATAGTTGGTGAAGAACTTCCGGTTCGAGACCTGACTGGATTGTTTGAAAATATTTGATCGACAGTGTTGCAGCATGACAGGATGAAGTGGTAGCTATCTGTATTCTTGAAAAGGTTGTTGGTCATCTATGCAACAACTATCGGAGTAAGTCTACTTCCGATTGTATCGAGACAATTGGCTTCCGTCGTACATCTTAGATTGTTCAAATCCGAGTAAAGATTGACTCGTGAGAAGCAGAATAGTTTTCGTTCAGTTTTTAAATATATTTCCTCTTTCACCAACTGTTAGAATACCGTCATACCTATTGCAGGCCGACGTTTATAGTGTTTATTTTATAACAGAGCCGCCTTCGATTCACTGAACATCTTGAAAGTCCTGTATACAAACACCTGTCAGAATGAGGACATACCACCAGTCCTCATCATTTTTCCATTTAAGCATCGAGGTTAAGAAGCGTTGTTCAGTCTAATCATTCCTGTTCAACTCTGCCATTGACTATATTCTGGAAAGAGCTTTGATGTAGGTAATGGTGGTGTAGATCTATTGTCTGTAGAATTTTATTTATTTATTTATTTGAACACATAAATATTGGTACAGGGGGGCACCAAATATATATGCGCCACACAAAACAATGAATTTGAAGAGGAGAAAAAAAGTAATGAACGTCGAGAATTATAAAATAAAAAAGAACAATAATGGGGGAAACGGAAAGGTACACTCAGAAGAAATCTTTCAGTTAAGGAAGATACAACCACTTTTTATGAAGAGAGTAAAAGAAGGTTACAGCAGGATCGCCACTGGCTTCTATTCTGAGCCATATCTGATAACGTCTATAGCCACTGTGTTACACCATCTCTCGGACCCCAGCCATGGAGTCATGAAGGTCCAACACAAGCCAGCCCTTTGCAGCTTTCTTTCATACCACGACACCATGTCATATACTGACCACCTCTCCACTTTTTCCAACCAGTCCTAGAGTCGGCAAATAATGCACGACGTGGAATTCTCTGGGACGACGTTCGTAGAACATGTCCAAGCCACCGAAGTCAGTGTTTCGAGATGGTGACACCAATTGCATTATCGTCTCTGTGCCCGAATACATGATGCCAAACCTCTGCATTACTAACATGGTGTTGCCACTGAATGTCAGCAATTCTTCGGAGACAACGACGATCGAACACAGAGCGTCGTCTAACATCCTCAACTCGGAGAGGCCAGGTTTCACAAGCATAGAGCAAAACCGCTCTCACTGACGCGTTGTAGATCCGACCTTTTACAGCCAGACTAACATCACGAAGGCGCCAAAGATGGCCCAGATTGGCATAAGCCACTCTGGCTTTCACTATACATGCATTGATCTCATCACTCAAGCCACCACCAGCACTTACGCAGCTATCTAGATACACGAGCTTCTCAACTATTTCTATCTGCTCACCATTCACAGTGAGTACAGGATTAGAATCCTGCCAGTCTTGTAGAAGTACTTTGCACTTCGAAGGTGCAAAGCACATACCATACCTACGGACACTGATTGCCAACTGATTAAGTGCGGATTGCATAGCTTGGGCATTATCACACAGTAAGACAATATCATCCGCATACTCAAGTTCGAGAAGTCTTTTTCCAGGCAACAGATCCACACCACCATTACTTACATCCATCAGAGCTGTTTTCAGAATGTCATCGATAGCAAAGTTGAAGAGGAATGGTGAGATTGGGCAACCCTGTCTAACCCCACTGCTCGAATGGAATAATGGAGAAAGGTGGTTGTATGCCCTCACTCTGCCTGAGGTGTTTGTGTATAGGGCTTTTAGGATTTTAATAAACTTCTCAGGCACACCCTTTGTTATATTTCTTTCGCTCTTACGGTTTTAACCCAGCTATTCCTATTGCTTAGTATTCACGGACACCAATTCACTCGACAAGTCCCCAAATCAGAACACGGTTGAACAGGAAAGAGATTGTATTCCAAATAACAAGGTTAGATGGAAGTGAGAAGCACAAAAGGAAAACCGTTAGTATATTTATAGTTTTTACATAAGAAGAATCTAGAGTCTTCTCCATGTACCGACTAGCGCTGATTGGATAAGAATCAGCCAATCAGCGTGCGCCAAAGCAATCGTGCATTGAGCATGCTTAAATCCAATCTATGTCCCACTAACACCTCCCCTTTGAGCAGATTCGTAGGACCTGGTGCTAGGGTCCAACTGCAACCGAGTGACTGGCCTGTGCTTTCGATTTGTCCATCGTCTAGGCAATAAAGAAGCATCACTCTTTGCTTGCACAGAAACTGACCTGTCTGTTCCAGGCGTTTTGATTTCAAAGGTGTCTAGCAGAACATCAAGAGGTAATCGACACTGAATCTCGTTGCTGGCTATCGAAGTTGCTTTTAATTGGTTAGCATGACGTACCCAAACTTCTGAGCCAACTGACACCTCATAAACCACACTCCCCTTCTTTTTCAAGATCCGACCAGCTGTCCATGTAGGATGTTTCTCACGATAGTCCATAGCAAGTACTTTTTGTCCCACCGTGAACAATCGTTTTTGTGCCCCATGATGTCGATTGAACTGATTCTCCATAGATAGGTTTCGTTGAGGCTCAAGAGCTGGCGTAGGACGGATGACATCGAAATGTGTTCGTATTTTTCTGCCAAGTAGAGCTTCTGCCGGAGAGACCCCCTTAATCGTCTGAGGGTTCGGTGTAGAGCGATAAATAAGCAAGAACCTCTCTAAAATCTCTTCGATGGTCCCCTTCCCTTTAGATTTTTTTAGAGCATTTTTAAATGTACTCACAAAGCGTTCCACTTGACCATTTGATTGGGGATGGAATGGAGGTGTTCGGACGTGATGGATTCCGTTCTGCCGACAAAATTGTGAGAAGATAACGGACGTAAACTGTGTTCCGTTGTCACTAACTATCAATTCCGGGACTCCGAAACGACTGAATAGTTGACGTAGCTTACTGACTGTGCAGCTTGCAGTCGGGTGTTCCATGAGAAGGATTTCTGGCTACTTGCTATATGCATCAACTACCAAAAGGTAAGTTTGTCCATGAAGTGGACCAGCAAAGTCCAAGTGTATACGCTGCCACGGTGACTGTGGTATTGGCCATGATTGCAGCTCTGCTTTTCGCGGTGCTTTCGTTGCTAATGCACATTTGGTACATGAACGGGATAGCTGCTCCAGTTGGGTGTCTAAATGCGGCCAGTATACATAACTTCGTGCTAATGCTTTCATGCGATTTATCCAAGGATGTCCTGCGTGCAACTGTCCAAGCACTGCTGGTTGTAGCTTCTTTGGGATTATGACACGTTCGGCAAACAGCAGGCAGTCGTCGATGATTGAGAGAGTCTACGCTGGTAAAACTGTTGAAGCTCTATGAAACTGATCTTCGTGGGCTGTCCTTCCAGGTGGAACTTTCTAACTTCTTGTAGAATCGGGTCTCGAAGAGTTTCTTCTCTGAATTCATCTGACGACACTGGAGTGTTTCGAATGGCATCTCCCACTATACTTCGTATTTCTGGGTCTACTGCTATGGAGGCAATGATGATATCCTCTGGTTCAGGATGCTGAACTCCAATTAATCGAGAGAGAGCGTCGGCTTGACCGATAGTATTTGTCGACTGATACTTGATATTGAAATCATAACTCAGGAGCATTGTTGCCCAGCGCTGTAGTCTATTAGCCGTATAGACCGGGATTCCTTTCTTAGAACCAAAGATTGCAATCAAAGGTTTGTGATCTGTCAGTAGAGTAAATGTACGACCATAGAGCATTTTATGAAATCTTTTGACAGCGAAAATGATTGCAAGAGCTTCCTTTTCAATTCGACTGTAGTTTCGCTTGGCTGGGGTAAGTGATCTAGCAGCATGGGCGATTGTCTTTTCTGATTTGTCCGGAAACACGTGAGATATCACTGCTCCAACTCCATAACTAGATGCATCAGATGCAACAACAATTTCCAAGCTGGGATCGAAGTGTTTCAAAAGAATCTTTGAGCTGAGCATTGATTTGACTCTGTCAAAAGATGCTTGACATTCTGCTGACTACTGCCAAGGTTTATCTTTTGATAGCAATCCATTCAGGGGACCTCTCAGTCGATGCATTTCAGGCAAGAATGTGCTGTAATGACTGATTAACCACAAGAAGGATCTTAATGAAGAGACATCAGTTGGTGCAGGCATCTTCTGAATGGCTTCGATGTTGGCAGGGTCTGGTCAGCGACCGTTCTTATTTAAGATAAAACGAAGGTATTTGATCGAATGCATAAAGAAGATATACTTTTCCTCACGTAGTTGGAAACCATATTCCAACACTCGGTTAAGGACTTGATGTAGTCGATCAGAAAGTTCATTGTCAGTTGAACCCATAACTATGATATCATCTAGATAAGCTGCTGTACCAGGTATACCTGTTAGCATCGTATCCATTATTTGCTGGAAGATGGCAGGTGCGGTCTTGATGCCAAATGGTAGACGGGTGTATTGAAATAACCCTCGATGAGTGTTCATGGTCAAAAGCTCTCTACTGTCTTCATCTACTTCCACTTGCAGATAGGCATTGGAGAAGTCTATTTTCGCGAAACATGTCCCAACATTAAGTTTGGCAAACAGGTCTTCAGGAACTGGTAACGGATATTGATACACATCTAATGCAGCATTTAAACCGGTCGAGAAATCGGCACATATGCGTATAGTTCCATTG